TGATGTTTCTCTCTCTCTCTCTTTCTCCCTCCCTTCCCTCTCTAAAAATAAATAAATAAAATCTTTAAAAAAGAAAGAATAATCAGCCCTGCCTCCCTTGCCCTAGGATTGGCCCAGGATGGCATTCATCGGGTGTCAGGTGGTCTGGATGCTGGAAGCAAGGTGGGCTGGGTAACAGATGTCAGGTGGTCTGGATATGTGAGTCCTTTGGGGGGGCAATCACAGGGTTATCTGGAGGCCTAGTGTATGTCCAGGTGTTGATGCAGGACATGAAAGTTCAAAAGTTTAAGTTTTCAGGTGACTTAGGACAAGAATAGAATTCTTTCCTCAAGTCTCAACCTTCACAATGTTAACAGTTGTAGCAGCTTAGTTAAAGTGACTCCACTTCATACATCTCTGTCTTCACTCCTTCCTCGGGTAGAGAGGCCACCTTCACTTAGAAAAGAAGGGTATGTCTACAGACTCAACACCAGAACTCTCTAGCTTTGCAAGAGATTTCCTTGTGACATAAGAACAAAATACACATTTTTGTTTCTCCCGCTGTTTCTCGGTTGCAAATAACCCCCAAACCTCCAGGCCAGCGTGTGATGAAAGCCGAGGTGTGCCTGCCTGTCCGGGAGGGAAGTTTGTATTCCGTCTGCGGCAGGGAGGAGCATACGCCATCCAGGACTCTCCACCTTTAACTTTTTTTCTGGTATGGAAACAAATCTGCAGTGCATTCTCTGTTGCTTGGGGAAGTAGTATTTGACTTCGTTTTCTGTTTTGTAAACATTTTATCGCCAAGTGTGACATTGGGGATAAAGTGGAAGACGATGTTAATAATTGAACTTGTTTGTAATATCTGTGTCAGCAGAGCTCTGGCAATTCTCTGCTGGTTATCATAACGTTTCCGGTAGGAACAAGGGCTTTTTACAGTGTTATCAAGAGTGTGGAGGGTTGTGATATTTATACAGATGCATCGTTTGATGGAATATGAATGCGTCAGGGAAACCGTAATTCCTCAGTGAAGATAATTGGTACTATAGATAAAGTATTTAAACTTTATTTGTCCTGTTGGGTTCTGCTTTTAAGTTTCTGACTGAGCTTGGTTAAGTGAGAAATAGAATTTTGAAAGAACCTTTACCTTTCACTCATTCAGTGGACATGCATCTCCCGTGGGCTCTGGTGAGGTGCTTCATGATAAAGCCGGTGTCCTGAATACAGTATTGTTGACATTTTGGGCTGGATCCTTCTTAGGTTGGCGGGGCAGGTGCTGTCAAACGCATTATGTTTAGCAGCAACCCTGGTGCCACTAGCCTCCCCGCTCTCCTTCTGACAACCAGAAATGTCTCCAGACAGTGCCACCACACTTCCCATGGCAAGCAAACTCATTGCTCTGGCTGAGAGGCATTGGTGACAAGGAGGGAGAATCATGGGAGTTCGGGGTGGGGGTGGGGGAAGCATGGAAACGGTAGGTGGGATGGGAAACATGAATGGGTTTGAGAGACACTGGGGAGGAAGAATAGAGAAATCTCTGTGACTAGTGAAACGTGGGGACTCGGGGAGAGGGAGGTGGCAGCCACAAGCCCCGTTCGGGCAACTGCAGTGATTGCGGTGTTTCCACGGGAGGAAAGAACGCAGGAGGAGGTGGTGTGCAAGAGAAGGTGAGTTCACTCTCAGACACGTGGGGTGTGAGGAGGGGGCGGGGCAAACTGGATCCCTGAAATGCAATCTGATTGTTTTGCTGGAGATTCTCAAACAGTCCACCAAGGTTAAGCAGAGAAGTTAAAAGACAAGATTCAAAAACATTTTGGTATTGAGAGATACTGAATTGAGATGGTGGAGGGGAGCTGAGAGAAGAGAAAAAGAAAGGACAAGTAATTCAGACAAACAGGTAAGAGTGAAAAGAGGAAATTGCCTATTCATTTAGTGTTTATTGAGCGCCAATAACCATTACATGGTTTTAATTTCAAAGGAGCTGGAAAATTAACACAGTTCTTGCAACTCAATTTCTTACTCAACCTTTTAGCATAAAACATTTCGAACATACAGAAGAGTTGAAAGAATGTTACAGCAACACCCATAGATCTGTCACCTAAATGATGTAATTAATATTTTACTATAATTGCTTAATTACAAATCCATCCATAATATCTTCCATCCACTGAAGCATCTTATTCATCTGATGCATTTTGGAGTAAGATGCAGAAATCAGTACATGTACTCCAGCTGGGTCCACATATATATATTATGAACTGGCGTTCAACATTTGTCTAAAGTTTGCCAATCCAGTTTTTTAAAATATTATATTCAGAGTCCATATCCAATTCTCTTGGTTGGAAAATGGGTAGCACCACATTTTATTTTATATACAGTTTGTGTGACCTTTTGGGGACGCTAATACTGAAGACTCTGGCCAACAATAATGCTAGGTCAGACCCTTGGACACAGAGGCTGGCCACATTGGCATATTTCCCTTCTCTATCCTGGGACCTCGTATGTTGCTGGGTACAAATCTGGATCTCTAATTATTTGTTAAACGTGTTTTTGCCACATGATGTTCTTTCTTGGTTGAATGGAGTTAAGCTCAAGTCACACCCCAGGCATTTGGGGATGACTAACTGCCAAGGAATGCTTTGCAAACTTTTGCAATTTGCCTCCGAGATGCCCTTACCAGTCCCTCAAAGACTAAACCCTGTGTGGTGTTTGTTATAAACAATTTGGATCTAAATTTGCAGGTTCAAGTATTGCCTTTGCTGTTCCGTGACACTTGGGAGTTTCACATAATCCTTTGCATGTAATAGAGCTTTGTCAGCCGTGACCTGGGACACAGATGTCATCTATTGTTTCGCTCTCAAAGGATGTGAACAAATTCAGCGGTCTTCTCTCTGCTTTCCTCCTTCCTTGCCTCCCTTTTTCCTTCTCTTCTTTTGTCTCTGGAACTTGTAGAGTGTGTCACAGAAGAAAACAGCAAGGAAACAAATAGTGCAGAATCCAAGATGTCCTGTGAAAGACAGAGCAAAAATCAAGATTCACTCCGTGCTGTCTCGGTACAGAAAGCAGCAGAAAATGCTGACAGCCTCAGACGGAGTGTGCCCTTGGAGGAGCCTGGATTCGAGAAGAGAGCAGTCTTGTGAAAGACGTGAAACAAAGGCTTTTCAAGCAGTCCGGAATTGCTCAGAGACTGGAGTATACCCTGGCAAAGTTATTGAACTCGATTTCTCGGAACTCTTCACCCAGAGGGGTCACCTGAGGACAACTGGCCACCTGCCCTTAGGTTATCTACCTTAAAGAAAGTGCTTAGAAAAAAGGCTAGTAATTAATTATCGCTACACATGCTTTAACAGGACTTATAGGACCATTAAATTTTTTTTTGATAAAAATAGTTACGGGGGGAGGTTTGAAATATTGATCCACAAATATGCAAAGAAACATTTGTTTGCTGTGTGTAAATTGCTCCTGTGGGCTTACTTTAAACACGCTAACATGCTGGATAGTTATTCCATAATTTCAAGTGGTTAACAATGAAGTTCTTTTTGTAACATATTTTTTAAAATTATTTTATTGTTGTTCAATTGCAGTTCTCTGCATTTTCCTCCCACCACGCCCCCCCCCACCCCAGCCAAACACACCTCCCTCCCTTGCTTCCACCCTCCCCCTTGGTTTTGTCCCTGTGTCCTTTATAGTGGTTCCTGAAAACCCTTCCCCCCACTGTCCCCTCCCACCTCTCCTCTGGTTACTGTCAGATTGTTCCTAATTCCAGTGTCTCTGGTTATATTTTGCTTGCTGTTTTCTTTTGTGGATTAAATTCTAACTTCCATCCTTGGAACACAGTTGTATAATGTGACTTTAATCTTATTTTAATTTACTGCCCACAACTTAAAAAGAAAATACCGATGATGTTTAAAAATGCTTCTTAAATATAGGTAACTAAATTTCCCAAGTAGTGAAAATAGCAACAAGATTTACAGTGAGGGAAAGTTTAATATTAATACGGAAGCCAGAATGTTAACAAACTTCATCACAGTGAACTGTTGCTAGCTTCTGAAAAGCAGCGAGGACAAAGTTTGCCTTCAGGGCTCTGCTTGGGAAAGCGGTGATTTATCGCCTGACATCTGATTTCATGTGTGTGTGCCAACGGCACCGCCTTTCTCCTTCCTTTTTATAGGGGGGGACAATAGGGACATGTTTAATATTGATGAGTTTGACCTCCTGGGAATTATAGTATATGCACCCTTTTAAAATACAAAGTCTGTCTTATTTATATGGTAAACACAGAATTTTGGAGCTTAGCATTTTAATCAACTCTAATCTCCCAGTATGTTGTGGTTCCTCCGCCTCGCCATTCTGTTAAAAAAAGAAGTTAAAGTGAATTGCAAGCTAATATTCTCCTGCGGAGTGCAAGGTGTACGTGGAATATGGAAGTATTTCTGTGTGTCGTAACCCTTCCTAAACCATATGCTCAAGTGCGTAAGTGTTAAGGAAAATGAATTATTAAAGAAGAGTTCATTCATCCCACAAATAATTATTGACAACCACGCTTCGGAAAGCAGGTGTGTGGGTGGGTGGGTGTGTACATGTATGTGGCTTAGCACCTCTAAACTGAGATTGGGCTTCAGTGTTTTTCCTTGTTTCAACTTTCCCTTTCTGCTTAACTTTTCTCGCGGCCTGTCCCAGAGCTTTGAAGTGCTGTGTGCACCTTCCAGCTCACGAGCTCTCGGGGCGGATGCCCGGCACGCAACCCGCCCCGGAGATCCCACTCGCGGAGACCGAGGAAACGCTTTTCGCGCCCGGCCGGGGCGAGGAGCCCGGCGTGGGCAGGGGCCCGGCGGGCGGCGGCGGCGGCGGCGGCGGGCGGGGAGCCAGGCCCCGGCTGCGTCCCGCGCGGCCATTGGCTGGCGCCGCGCGCTGCACTGAGCATGTTCGCGCCTCGCGGGTCCCGGGCTGCAGTCGCCGACGCAGCCGCCGCGCATTGTGCAAGCGGCTGCAGAGGAGAGCGCGGCCGGCGGGGCTCGCGTTGGCCTCCCTTCCCAGCGGCTCGCCCGGCAGCCTGACTGGCCTGGGAGACTCCCCGCGCCCGGGCCGGGGGCCCCGGAGGGCCGCGATGGCCTGAGTGCCCGCGGCGCGGCGGCGCGGCGGCCGGTGTGCGACATGGGGAACCAGGATGGGAAGCTCAAGAGGAGCGCAGGTGATGCCTCCCACGAAGGCGGCGGCGGCGCGGAGGATGCGGTTGGGCCCAGGGATGTGGAGGCCACAAAGAAGGGGAGCGGGAGCAAGAAGGCGCCGGGCCGGCACGGCAAGGGGGGCGGCGGCGGCGGCGGCGGCGGCGGCGGGGAGCCCGGCAAGAAGAAGAGCAAGTCGGAGTCCAGAGCCTCGGTGTTCTCCAACCTCAGGATCAGGAAGAACCTGTCCAAGGGAAAAGGCGCCGGCGGCTCCCGCGAGAATGTGCTGGACTCCCAGGCCCTGCAGACCGGGGAGCTGGACAGCGCTCCCTCCCTGATCACCAAGACCCCGGACCTCAGCCTGTCCGCGGACGAAACCGGCCTGTCGGATACGGAGGGTGCCGACCCTTTTGAGGTGACCCGTCCGGGTGGCCCTAAGCCGGCGGAGGCTGGGGCTGGGGGCCAGGCTGTGGCCGAGGATTTGGAAACTGCGGCAGGGGCGCAGGATGGACAAAGGACCAGTTCCGGCTCGGACACGGACATCTACAGCTTCCACTCGGCTACGGAGCAAGAGGATTTGCTCTCAGACATCCAGCAGGCGATCCGCCTGCAGCACCTCCACGGCGCCCAGGAGCCAGCGGTGTCCCCCGTCGCCACCTCCCCACAGCCCGGGGCTTTCCTGGGCCTGGACCGATTCCTGCTGGGGACGAGCGGCGTGGCTGGGGAGGCCCCGGGCAGTCCGGACACGGAGCCGCCGCTGTCAGCGCTCTCTGACCTGCCCGAGAGCCCGGTCGCTGAGCCCCCGGTGCCCGAGCCCCCGCCGCCCCCCAGCGGCCGCCGAGCCGCGGAGGCGCCCGTCCTGCCGGTGGCTCAGCCCACGGCCGTGGACTCCGCACCCTCGTCCACCGTCTTCCAGTTTCCCGAAGCCGGGCCCGGAGCGGGCGCGGCCAGAGCCCCTGTGCAGGGGGCTGGGGACACGGATGAGGAAGGCGAGGAGGATGCTTTTGAGGATGCTCCCCGAGGCTCCCCGGGGGAGGAGTGGGGCCTGGCGGTGGAAAAGGCCTCGCAGGGGCTGGGGGGAGAGCCGGAGGAGGGGGCGCGAGGGCCCTGCGCGCCCGCGGCCGCCTCGCTGCCCGGCAGCCCGGCGCCCAGCCCGCGCTGCTCCAAGCCCTACCCGCTCATCACCCCCTGCTACATCAAGACCACCACCCGGCAGCTCAGCTCGCCCAATCACTCCCCGTCGCAGTCCCCCGACCAGAGCCCCAGGATCAAGAGGCGGCTGGAGCCCTCCGTGAGCCGGGGACCCAGAGCTGCCCTCGCCTCCGCGGCCGCCCCGGCCAAGAAGCACCGGGCCGACGGCAGCCTCGCGGGCGGCCTCAGCCGCTCTGCCGACTGGACGGAGGAGCTGGACGCTGACGCGCCGCGGGAGGGAGGCTCGGCACACCTGCTGGAGCGCGGGGCGGCCGCCGACGGCGGGACGCCCCCGGCGACGGCGGCCAAGGCGTCGGGGGCGCAGGCGGCCGCGGACGGCTTCCAGAACGTGTTCACGGGTGAGCTCGCCCCGCCGCCGGGTCGCAGGTCGCAGGTCGCCTGCCGGTTAGGCCCTCCCCCTGCCACCCACCCTCTCGGGCTCGGAAAAGCCTTGACCTGCTCCTGGCCCGTCCCTTCTTCCTAAGGATTCACTCCACGTCCGGCTCACCCACTTGGTGAAATCTTTGTTCCTTGCGTGTCAAAGGGACCAAGTCAGTCGCGTCTGTCCCAAGTCATCTCACGAAAGGGCTGCTCTGTCCATTCCTCCAAAGTATCTGTTGTTCTCTGTCCATTTCAGCCAGACAGACAAACTTTTTTCCCATCGTTAGCTGACCCATCGTTCTCTTTCCTTCCTCGTCCCCACCCACGGCATTACAAACAAACAAACAAGCAAACAAACAAACAAAATTGCTCACGGTCCATTGAAGGGTCATTGTGGAGAAATAAGCCAGGTGTTCTCACTGCTGTGATAGGTTTTCGTATCTGTGCGTAATAGTTTCTATCTCGCTGCAGTCTTAACTAGCAGACTGCTTAGTGAAGTTCCTCCTGCTTTGTGATGCCATCCAATCGAATGCATACTATTAGGAAATTAATGAATCATGCAAGAGAAATATTAGGGGGAATTTTCATTTCCCTAATATTCTGGTTCCAGGGTCCTCCAAACAGGGTGTAGGGCGGAGCTAGTGAAGGTGGGAAGGCCCAAAGCACACCGTTCTCCAGCGGGTACCTCCCCTTTGAGTCTGCTGTAGACTTTTTAGGCTCCAGAAAGCCCAACTACCGGGTTAGTTTGCTGTGGGAAATGCCTGGTAGCACCATGAGGGTATCCTTTCTTCCAGGCTTGTACACACCAAGGACTTAGATTAAGGGCCCGCTGAAGGGGTGTCAGTTGGCTTCATGCTTCCTACCTCCTCTTACTTATTAAATGAAATAGTGAGTGTAGGAATTCAAAGAGCAGGAAAATAAGGAAAACCTGTGCAAGTACTGATAGGTTTGGGGTGGATATTTCAATCATTTAACTTTTCGAAGTGTAATTGGAAAAGCTGAAGTCATATGTTGTATTGCTTTAATAAATAGGTTATAAAATATTGCTTAGACGGCATTTCTCAATGAGTGTGGCCACTTCTTAGCTCGCTAAATGGTGTTAATATTTTGGAATTTTATTGATTGGCCACATTTTTATTTTAATGTATGGGCTACCTTTTATTTTACGTTTTTTGATTCTTATACTTAAGTGTAATATTTTATATGCTTTATCCCTCCCTCTCCTTTTTACTTCTTTTCGTTTCTTCTTTTTATTGTGTAGGTTAAACTAAAAGAAATATTTCTAGTCTAATCCCTATTAGGTAAATTGTAAACAAACAAAACCTCCCCAAAGACCATTTCTGAAGGAAGATTGGAAATTTCTGGAGGTGATTCTTGTGAATTTAATGTTGGTGAGAAATCATGTATTTTCTCTGTATTTAGGTAACATTCTTTTCTTTTATTTTTTAGTGTTCCAAGTCCTTTATCTTTTTTCATATTTTTTATTGTTGTTTGAGTATAGTTGTGTCCATTTTCCCCCCACCATTCCCTCCCACCCCAGCCATCCCCACTTCCCGCCCTTGATCCTACCCCCTTTGGTTTGTCCATGTGTCCTTTATACATGTTCCTGAAAACCCTTCCCCTCTTTACCCCCAGTATCCCCTCCCACCTCCCCATATTATTTTTCTAAAAATGAGAATGTCACCATAATTAAGACTATCATTCATTAATATTAACTGTTGCTCTTTCTAAGAACATCAGATTTTGTAAATATAGTCATTTCATTCATTTAACAAATATATATGTATGTGTACGCACACACGGCAGCCATCTGTACCAGGCTTTACACACACACACACACACACACACACACACACACACAATGGTTCTACCTTCCCAAGGCTCACATAGGCGCACTTAGGGATGGATATGCAGTACCATCCATGCTCTGGGAATGTCAAGGATGCAGTGACATATCCCCTTGGCAGGCGCTAAGGGAAGGGGACTTCCTGGAAAGATTGGTCGGAGTCCTGGAGGTAATAGGACACCAAATAGGTAGAAGTTTTGCTTCCCTAAAGGATAAAAAGTATACTCTTAGAACTTGCACTTTATGCTAAGTACTTCCAAATTTGCCATCCGGGACTCTGTTAAAGGAATCTGCTCAGGAAGTACCTGGGTTTTGTTGACCTCTCTCCAGGCAGAACGTCTGACTATTGTGCAGTTAATTGTTTTAATATAGACATCACCTACTTCGTATTTGATGGATGGAGATACTTGGTCATGACCAGTACGTACTTACCTAGCAGCTTCCATATCTTTTTATCACTCATTCACTTTCTTTCCAAGAAAGAAAAAAACCCCCACAACAAAGAATCAGTAGGTTTCACCTAATCTTGTAACTGGTGGGGGTACGGGGGTAGAGAAAGAAATGCAGTAACTTCCTTAAGGTCAGACTGTGATTCATTCCGAGCCAGAGCCGGAAATAGAAGCTGCCTTGACTGGTTCCTGTCTGGATGTCCTTTCCTTGCTTATGACTCATTTTTGGATGTTCACCACCCTAAGACACCATAGGCATAACATTTTTTTAAAATATGATAGAATTGAAGGCCCTCACTTCTGAGATTTTTCTAGTGGCTGTTTTTAAGTTTTTTTCACAGCTGACCACGTGGCCGTACCTGGGCAGGATAAGAGTCCATGGCTGGTGAGAGTGAGCCACACTTTCTCCAGGCAGCCCGCTTGGAAGCTGTTCTTGTGGTGGTAGAATGATCCAGATTGACCTGGGCCCCTGATTCTCAGCTGTTGTCTGTTTTCTTGTCATCTGTCATCGCATTTGGTTCTTCGCCATCCTTGAGGATTTTATGGGCGTCTTGGAAATTACCAGAGGCCCAGGGAGCACCAGCCTTGTCCGCAGGGAAATTGTTTTTTGGCCTTCATTTTGCCTGTCTCTCAGTCAATTACTTGCCAGCTGCCTTTGAAGCAGGTGATCATTAGCACTCTACATTTCCATAAACATCTTTTATTTTTAAACCATAAAATGAGGGTTGTCAGCTCCGCAGGAAGGAACAGATGTTTTTTGCTTTTCACTGACTTGCAAACGTAGGGAGAAAATTCAAGGGAAAGCGATCTCTGTGGCATGTTTGTATTTGTTTGGTATGTATGTTTGGTACATAAAAAACATTTAGCAATGATGGAGACCAAAACTTTCCCTTTTTTTAGCTGTTAGAGAACCGATGACATCTTAGGCCACTGCATTGAAATATTTCACGGTTAATTTGAAATACATCTTTTTCTGTGTGGGGGAGAAAAAAAATTGCTTGTGAAGTTTGAGAGGCTCCTTTGCACACAAAGTCTAACAGAAGCTTGGGAAGAGAATTTTGCAGTTCATGAACGTTTAGACATGGAAGTTATTAACTTTTGTAATGCTAAGTCACTTTTGATAGCAATTCAACGTCAATTAGGTGCTTATCTGTCTTTTTTTTAAAAAAATCATGGAATAACACTTTGGTCTATTTTAAAGGGATTTGTGTCATCTTCAGGCTCACCCTTGCCACATCCCGGGAAACGACCTGTGACACCCTAACAGGTGTGGGAGTGTGTCCCGCTGGCTCCAGTGGCTCGTTTCAGAGTTTCTGTATCGGTGTAGTTTGTGCAAATCCTTCCTTACAGTCAGCTGCATGTTCCTAGAGCTATCTTTAGCTTCCTCTCCCTCCACTCCATCACGTCTAATTTGATTTTTCTGATCAATTTGTCAGTGGTTTCTAAATCCAGTAATTATGATATTAAGCTATATTCACTACACTTCTCTTAAATGCTGGGCTCTGTGTTGCTGCATTATATAATTATCTCTAATCATTACCCCAGTCTTGAAGTAGAGCTTTTTATCCTTTTTCCTTTTCCCTTTGAGCAAACTGAGGGTCAGGCAAGTGAAGTAACTTGTCTGGGGGCATGAAGCTACTAAATGGCCCATTTAGGAAACGCATGCAGAAAACCATAGTGGCTGTTAATTAATGCGTATAAAATAAAAGCACAGCCTCATCGCGTTTTGGATGACTAGCTGGTTAATAAAGGGCCTGGGCTTTAGAATTTGGATTGCGCGATTCCCATGTTGGTTTTTCTAAAGGTTATCTTGAGTTTTGTATGAATAAGATTTATATGAATAAGATTCATATAGCTTATTAATTATTAAGCTGAATTTTTAAAGGCCAGAAGAGGGCTTATTTCCAGCAGTGGCACTGGACAGACTGCAGATGTCCACTTAATGTCCAATAAATGAATGAAGATCAGAACTCATCGTGATACGCGTGCAACGCACCTGTCCTACTGTAATGGGAACGCAGAAGGAAGGCTGCTGTTTCCCCTATGTCTCGCCTTACTGGGTTCCGTATATCAAAACAGAATTTAACAACATAGGCTGGGCCCAGAATCACTGGCCTTAAATCGTTTCAGTTTGGTCTGAACCATCCTTTCTCATTTTTTGTTTTGACTGTGGTTTGGATTGAAGTCAAGTACCCCAGTAGCTTCGGTGATGGGTTTTAATTACTGCTTTATGAGCAGAGGACTGGCCTAGTTTTAAGTGCATTTAGGCAGTTGGATATAAGCCACGTGTATTTGAAATTGAGCAGGAGCTTTCTGAGCTGCGTCTCCTTCTGATTCTATTAAAAAGGTGCTGAACATACACAGTTGGGTGAGGGTAGCGCTAGCAGTTAGAATTTAACTACTATTATTCTAAGCAAATTTGCACCCTAGGTTTGCTGTTTAGTTAAGTGACTAGCAAGTAATTTTTTCTCACTGTATGAGAAATTTCACGTTACTAATGTTGAGATTAACTGAAATTCTGTCTATAAAGTGTCTACAACTCTGCCTGGTACATACGTACTCTTTGCTTTCATGTCCCAGTTCATTGTTTTAATAAACTTCATTGTTCAGCATGGTCAGAACCAAATTATTAAAACAAAATAAAACAACTATGATATTGTATACACATATTTGGCAGGCTATA